TGAAACTCATGACTTGCATATAAAAAACCAAATAGACAAAAACAGGAAGTCTTTGGGGAAAACAGCTTATTTTTTAAATTGGAAAAGAAGAGGGAAGACTTGATGTGAAGAAAAGCTAAGTGTAAGCAATACAGCTTGGGTGACCAACACTGACTTTCCCTCCTTATTTCCGTGTTTTTCTGTTTAAAGTGGGCTTTTGGAACTAAGGGTTCTTTTGTCATATTTTGTTTGCATTTGACTCCTTCACCTTCTTTTTTTACTCAAAATGAACTTGAAAGACTGCTGGTTTCTTATCTGGCATGTAAGGAGCTTAGAAGTCTCCATTCCAATTGTACAATGAGCAAACTGGGGGGGAAAAAAATCAGCAACTCTTCTTTGATCTGTCAGAGAAATAAGGTCACAGGGCAAACTGGTACCCCTCAAACTGAAGAGACGGACAGGCAGGCAGATACAGAGAATCACAACTTACCTGAGTAGAAACTACCAAGCAAGAATCTCCTTGGGAGCCAGTGCCAGGTTGGGAAAACCTGAACTGTAATGAATTGCTAGAGGCTCCGTGTCGACAAGCCTGAGAGAGGAAAACTCCAAGGCAACAAGTCATCAGGGGAGGGAGACCGGTACTTTCACGAGTTTTACCTTCAGGAGCTGTAACAGGTGCACACAGTAAAGATCAGTGAAACTATCCTCAGGGTTCCAGCAGGAGGAGGGAAAACCTATCATTTTGATATATACCTCAGGGCACCAAGGTCTATCCTCAGGAGAGACTATTTTACCAGAGCCTAGTGTACCTGAGGAAAGGGAAATACCCAACCCCAGTCACCTCGAGCCGTCCTGTCCCACCTAAGAGAAAGGAAGAAGCCGAGAAGCACTGGTGAATTCACAGAAACACAGGCTCACCAACAGACTGAGACCTAACACAGAACTGTAGAAGCTTGCTACCACCCCCACGCCCTTCACACACACACACACACACACACACACACACACACACACACTACTGTTATGTAACCAAAGGCCTTTTCCCCAGTACATTAACAGGAAATTATAAGACATACAGAAAAAGCAAAAAACACAGTTTGAAGAAACTAAACAAACATCAGAAGCAGACACAAATATGCCAGGGATGTTGGAATTACCAGAGCAGGAATGCATAACAACGATAATTAATATGTAAATGACTCTATTGGAAAAAGTAGACAAGATACAAAAACAGATGGATAATATAAGCAGAGAGATAGAAATTCTAATGAAGGCTCAAAAAGAAATGCTAGGGATAAAAAAACAACACTGTAACAGAAATGAAGACTATGTTTGATGACCTCATTAGTAGACCAGACATGGCTGATGAAAGAAATATGAGCTTGAGGATATGATGATAGAAACCTCCAAAACTGAAAAGCAAAGAGAAAAAAAGACAAAAAATACCACTAAATATCCAAAAACTGTGGGACATCCACAAGAAGGTGTAATAGACCTATAATGGAAATACCCAGGAAGAGAGGGAAAAAAACCACAAAAATATTTGAAGCAATAGTGACTGAGGATTTTCCCAAATTAATGTCAGACACTAAACCAGGAAGCTCAGAAAACACTAAGCAGGATAAATGCAAATACAAAAAACAACAAAAAAACAATACAAAAACTATACTTAGGCATATCATATTCGAACTGCAAAAAATCAAATAAAATGGGGGTGGGGAGGGGGGGGGATGAAGTAATAAGCCAAAGGAGAAGAATCACCTTACCTACTAAGGAAGAAAAATAAGAATTACATCTAACTAATCTTCAAAAACCACGTAGGCAATGAGAATGGAGTGAAATATTTAGAGTGCTAGGAGGAAACAACACCCCACCAACCTAGAACTTAGTACCTTGTGAAAATTATCCTACAAAAGTGAAGGAGAAATAAAGACAGTCTCAGGCAAGCAGATATGGAGGGAATTTGCTGCCAGAAGATCTACCTAGCAAGAAATGTTAAAAGAAGGTCTTCTGAGAGAAGGAAAATGATATAGGTTGGAAAGCTCTATATAAAGAAAGGAAGAGCACCAGAGAATGAATACATAAAAGTAAATTAAAACTTTTATTTTTTTACTTATTTAGTCAAATAGGTTACAGCTCATTCAAGAAATAATAGCAACAATGTGTTTGATTGTGTGTGTGTGTGTATATATATATCCTTATATATGCTTTTCCTATCTAATAAAAGGGTAATATGCAAATTAACCATCACCCTGTCACAAAGATGGAGGTGCCCATAGCCACAAGATGGCGGCATCCAGTCCTCTCAGCCCCACTGGAGTCCCCCAATCCCAGGGAGCGGCACTGAGAGCAGGTAGCGTGAGCAGCCTGGCTTGCTTCGTCATCGCAGCATTCCACCCCGGCCACAGAGGGCCTCTGGGCCACAGGCGCAAGCGGCCAGGCCCCGCAGAGAGCTACTGGTGCATGGATTTGTGTGCAGGGCTACTAGGGTATAAATAAAATGAATGACATCAATGATACAAGGGACAAGAGGGAAGAATTAGAAATATTTTGTTATTATAAGGTACTTATTACGTTGTTGTTATAAGGTATAGCCATACAGTATTGTAGTGTTATTTAAAGGGAATTGGATTAGTTTTAATGTATATTGCAAACTTTAGAGCAACCACTAAAAAACGTTAAAAAAGTAAAAAAAAGGGTATATAATTGATATGCTAAGAGAAAATAGAATCATAAAAAATTAAAGCCACACAAAAATGTGGCAGTCAAAATAGCAACAAAAAGAAAACAGTAACAAATATGATAGATTTTGTATTAATCAAACTATATCAATGATCTAAACACAATTAAAAGACAGATTGTCAGAATGGATCAAAGACTAAGACCTAACTATATGTTGTCTATAAGAAACTCACTTTAGATATAAAAACACATAAATATTAAAGTAAAAGTAGGGAGGATTTCCAAAATGGTGGCAGAGTAAGTGGAAGCTACACGGACACTCTCCCAGGACCAAATTAGAAATGCAGTTACAATACAGAAGAAATCACCCTGAAAAATCAACTAAAGAGAGCGGGAGAGAACCCTGATAACCAAGGATGGAAAGTTGAGACCACATAGAGACTGGTAGGAAATGTGGAGGCGAGAAAGGGCTGGCCAGGCTCCCATACACAGCAGCTGAAGTTCTGAAAGGACTTTCAAAGAAGTTTCTTGGCTGCGGGGGGTTCCCACTGAGAGCTCTGGGGTCTAATCCCCAAGTTGGGCTCCCAAGCTCAGAGCACCAGAATTGAGAAAGGTGTCCAAAAAATATCGGGCAGAGGCGAATCCCTGGAGGCTTTGAGTTTTGCCTGATCTCCTTCTGGGCTTGGAGCTAAGAAAAGCAGACCCTGGTGCACATCTTGGTCCTTTCCAAAGGCACCCAGCCCCAGCAGAGGGAGCCACAAGCTGTGCATTGCTGATAGCTCCCAACAGGTACGCAGGGCCAGTCACAAACAGCGTCTGACATTATCCAGCACTAGAGATTGGGAGTCTTAGCAGATCTACCTAATACACAAACACAAACAGGCAGCCAAAATGGGGAGACAAAGAAATAAGCTCCAAATGAAAGAACAAGAGAATTATCCAGAAGAAGAGATAAATGAAATGGAGATAAGAAATTTATCAGAAGCTATATCTAAAGGAAGTTTCATGGTTTGTGTTCCAGGATCCTTAGAGACTGAAGTAAGAGATCAATGACACGCAATCAATGAACATTCTGAAAACAGCTAAGTTTCACACAAATATGTGAATTTTATTGACAAATGATATATTCTTACAGTAAAAAATAGAATGCAATCTTTAGTTTGGAGTTGGAAGTAGTGTGTCCTTGATAGGAGTAGTCAGATTTCGTGGTACTATTTTCTTTAAAGCTGTACCTAAGAGGAAACCTGTATGCTGTCTGAAAATTATCCAGGTGTGTGCAACATCTGTGTGAGCCCTGATGCTTCTCTCCACACCTTCAAGGTAATTTATAGCCCCTGGTCAACATTACCCTCCCCCTACCCACCCCCAGGTTTAACATAATATATCATAAAAATAGCTAGTGCCATTACAAGTCAAAATTTCAAATATAATTTTTATACAAATGTAATTCATAATATAATCATTCTTAAAATATAGCCATTTATATGTGAGTTTGAAACATTATTAAAATAAATACTATTTCCTAGAGAAAATTTCTTTTGCATCACAAAATTATAAAACAGAAGTATATAGAACTAATTTATGATTGATTCTTCTTTAGTGTGTCTTCCACTATCTCTCCCACTCAGTATATACAGTATGATGTGCATAGAGTAGTCTGAAAACACATGACATCACCCCATGTATACCCAGACATTCAGATTTCTGGTACATATACCTGCAGCCCCCATGGCTTAGCTGCCTGTGTTTTTCTCACCAATTTATATTAAAACCTTTTTCCAGCCATCCTTCAGTTCAGAGGTCTTACCGGCTTGTTACTTTCTGAGAGCTGTGGAAAGGCATGTCAACTTCCACATGAAGAGAGCTATCCTGTCCCCTATTTGGAACTGTAACAGCCTTTTCCCAGGTAAGGGATGTATTCTTATTATCTGAATTGTTTGAATGTTTGGTAGAAGAATAGTACTGACCCTGATTTAAAGGATTCCAGAAGTTCTCTTTCCTGACTGATACCTAGGTACTGCACAGTACATATGTTGACAGGCTGTCTTGTGACTCTCACAGTATTCTAATACTCGCTTAGAAATGGGACAGTCTGAATACTGATCAGACATATAGTTGTGTTTTTAAACATCTTGGAGATATTAGAGAAAAAGAAATATAAGCCACTAAAGTTTTAAGTTCATCATCTCTCTATCAGCGGTTCTCAACCTGTGGGTCGCGACCCCTTTGGCGGTCAAACGACCCTTTCACAGGGTTTGCCTAAGACCATCCTGCATATCAGATATTTACATTATGATTCATAACAGTAGCAACATTACAGTTATGAAGTAGCAACGAAAATAATTTTATGGTTGGGGATCACCACATGAGGAACTGTATTTAAAGGGCCAGAAGGTTGAGAACCACTGCATCTAAATAGTATGATTACAGTTCTCCAATAATACAAATCAACAAATTTCACTAAACAATAAGTGGAACAATTAAGCTGGCTGACATGTACAGCCACCTTTCCAATGACTAACGAAAGGAAAAGGTTTTCAGGAAAATCTGGCTGCAAACGTCAGTGGTAAATCTTCAAGGATGTGAAATTGTCACACAATTAGACCATTGCCGGGAAGCCACTTATCCAGACTGAAGTGAACGTCCTTAATTCCTCTTACTGAAACGTCTCCTTTTAAAAAATAGCATTACTCATCCTTGTTTTCTGAGCCATAAACTGTTTTCTCCTACAAGTCCACGTGTGAGCGCTCCATGCAAACACTGGTACTGCTTTCTACAGCCTGGTTTCTTGCACCTCTTCTTCGGTCACCTCCTGCAGAGCAGTGATTTTGGATCGGGACTTGTGCTTGCTGGAGTTCCGGTGGGGTAGGAGCTTCAGGCGGTCCGAGGGGCTTATGGCCTGATGGAAGAGGCTCTTCTCGCTCAGCAGTCTTTGGATGGAGTCGTACTGCCGCACTTGGTTCTCCTCTATGACCTGGGGAAGTGGCTGTTAGTGAGATACTGGACAGAAGGCAGGGCGGGCCAGAGCAAGGACAGAAGGTGGCATAGGCTCAGAGGAAGATAAAAGCCAAATGGGAAACAGTGTCCAGAGGCTGGCAGTCTGAACCGTCAGGGAGATCTCATTTCACTGCCAAGTCCTTCACCCTCTTGCTTTATGGAGCTTCTCCATCTGTGAAACTCTCTGTAACTTTCTTTTTAGCAGCTGGAAGATTTTTTTTTTTAAATTAGGATTGTACTGAGCAATTACCTCTTCAAAGAACTTTAGAGGAATTAAGGGAGCTTTCAAAACCAGAATGATTTTTGTTAGATCCCTTCTATAGTGTGGGGAGCGGCTACAGTGTTTTGGACAGGTTCAAGCCCTGGACTGATGAGAGGACACAGTCCACTCATTGCCACGTGCAAGTCCCAGCTTGGAGGGCAGAGCCTTCCCAGCACAATTATAGCCAACAGCTATAGTTGTAAGCTTGAACCTATGGTCCGAACATGTGGTCCCACATATCTGAGTGATGTGGGCTTGATAGAGTTCAGGTGCATGTAATTGAATAGGATTGAAACTCACGAGAATATTGTAAACATCTTGATCACCCCCTTACTTTGCCTCGTAGCATCTGCTATAAAATAAAGACACGGCTTGTGGGCATCGTCGCTGTCTCTCAGAGAAGCAGCGTCCCGCCGAGACCCAGCTTTCATTCTCTTGTCTGTCTTTTCTAAGCCTTTCAGCTGCCCCCACTCAGGTTCATCCTTGGCCGTGCTGGCATGGCACACTATAGGACCTTAAAAATGAGTGAGACTCCACAGCATTGTAGTTGAACCTCATCAACAGTGGATTTGAAGGTTAAAAATTCCAAATTGGTCAGAATGTGCCTGAGTTTAATATGCCTCCTTCACATGTTCAAGTTGAGCAAACCCAAGGTCAGAGCGTAGGAAGGCTTTATCCAGCCTCCTGAGCCTGACCATGGCAGGACAAGAGGTTGTGAGTCAGCCCCTAATTTGTTACCTGGAGCTTAGTAATAATAAATGGTAATAACAATCCTTCAGTAAGGAAAGCATTTACTTCCAGGAACCCCAAAAGTCTGAATAGAATAATGTGGTGCATCATCCTGAGAACTTCCTTGTGACTAAACCTGAGGGAATTTGTAAACGTCACTTGAAAGAATCTGTGACAGCTTTGAAAGCACAATGAGAAGGTGATTGGGAGAGACATTCACCTGAGTCCCAAATAATGACTTTAAAAATGAAATGAGCCTTTCAATTATCATATTAAAACTCTACATGAGATGCAAGAGAATCCAGGCCTGTCCTGGACCCTACCTACCCAAGGAAGATTTAGTTATTAAAAGCATTAAGACCTAAGCCTTTCTTCTGACTTATTTCCCAAATAAGGACCCAAAAGTGTAGATGTTCCAGTTTATTAATGTCACTTAGTAATATGCTGCTCTTTTAGACTTACTGCATTCCAACCTTACCTCATAACTCAGATCAAAGTGAGAAACTCGTGCAGCTATTTTGAGTCAAGCTAAATGGCTGTATGACACATGTTTTAAGGTTGAACTTGTACATACCTGAGATTTGCAGAAACTATCACTTAAGAGATTGTTATCAAGAATTAAAGGGGAAATGAGATCGTAAGTAAATTATAAACACTCACCAAAAATCGTTGACATTCCAACATTGCTTCTATCCTGTGTTCACAGAGGATCACTGTGCAATTAGCAAATGCTTGTTTTAGGGTTCTTCGAATGATTTGATATGTTCTAGAAAAGAAAGAAAATACCACACAGAACATCAATAATCTGCCTTTATTCTTGATAACATACCTATTGTCCTAGCAACTGAGTCCTTTAAGTTATCTTTCCTTAAATACTTTTAACATAATTGTGATATAGTCAGCCACAATCAGCTTTGCAACCAAAGGGTAGATTTTAAGTTTCCATCAATAAATAGGACAAATATTTTGAAGGAAATTTCACAAAAGTACATTTTTTTCATTATGTAGAATCACTAGTAGTTCTTTTGTGCTACCAAATGAATGGAATAGAAAGAAAAATCATAAGAATCAGAATTTGCCTGTGTAACTAAATATTTCATGTGTTGACAAGGGGGAGAACTCCAAAATCACAGTGAGAAGAGAACACAGGCTCTTATACCAGGAAATAAGCACTTGTGTGCATATCCAATGGTGACTTTTCCACTAGGCCATGGGAATTTGTGTCAATATGCAGCAGTCCTCTGCCGCTGTATTACCAAGTAGCAGGAATTCTGAAACTCACATTGGATCCAGATGAGCACTGGGTTCATCCAGCAGCAAGATCTTCGCCTTACTGAGAACAGACCTTGCCAAGCACATCAACTGCTTGTGGCCATGGCTTAGGACCAAACCCCCATCCAAAAGGACAAAATCAAGCTTCCCAGGAAATTGCTCTATCACAGATCTGAGTCCAACCTGCAGAAAAGAAAGAGGGAAAACACTGTGCTTAGAAAGGCAGTTCAGATACCACAAGGTTAAAGACACTCATGGGAGTTCTAAAAGTTTGAATTTCATGTCAGCCCCTGCCACTCCTGCTATTTGGGCTGGATTAAACAAAAGTCTAAGCTGTATAATCCTGACAGCTCTAAAGGACCAATCTATGACTTGTTTCATTTCTGTACTTCATCATTCAGGACATTTTCAATGAATGCCTATTATATGCCAGGTATTCCAATAGGGACTGAAGAAACGATCAAGGTCACATGGCCCCTGCAATTGATCAGGGTTTATAAAGACATACACAAACAATTACAACACAATGGAATACATGCTAGAGAATGGAGTTGTTTAGTATATCATGACAGATTCTTTTACACTCCCTTCCATTCTCTATTTTGTCATAATAGAGCATGAAAAGTGGCATAAACAATTCAACTGAGAGTTTTTTACAACTACATATGGCCACTTGCTACTCATCTCTTCAATACATAAAAACTGATTTTAAGAAATTGATGAAACTATGGAGTAAAAAAAACCCCACGAAATCAAGACTAGGAGATTTTAAGGTAATATATTGAGGTGGAATATGAGATTTGTGTTGGGTTCAATGGCTTGGTTTTATAAGGTAGGTAGAAAAAATAGGTTGAAAAAATGTCAAAAGATACAGAAACCCATTCTTTCAAAATAAGACAAAAATGACTGAAGTCTTGGTTCTGATCACTTATTCAGGTAAATGTGCATTAATGTTTATTTTCTTGCCAAGGATTGCTGACTGAAAGATGTGCAGATGATTGTCTCCTGCCCTCGGGAAGTCTGAGGCTCAGTATGGGGAAGTAGCATGCAATCCTAACTGTAATACAGGCAGATGAGATAATGGCTTTAAGAAAAACTCATGTGTCCAGTGGTGTTTGCTCAGCACATGTTAACTGTGTGCCTGTAATATGTATTGCAGACGATACTCTTCTCCTTGGTTTGGTTCTCATTAAAGCAACCTCACTATGAGAATTCATGAATTCTGACAGGTGTCTGAGATGGCAGAGAATGTAAACATATTGATTAGATAAGGGGACTACTCTGACGTATCCCAGAAGATTCAAACAGAAAACTACTTTTGGATCCAAGTAGCTGAGAATGTGAATAAAGGACACTGGGTGGGGAGGTAGAGGAGCTGTGTTCTGTCTTCAGTCTATGAACCTGCTACAGTCTCTCCCATCTTAAAACAGAAACAAAACCCCTCACATGCATCCATGTTCTCCTTTAGCTGTTATGTAATATCTACCCTGTCTGTCATCTAGAAATCTCAAAAAATTGGTATGTATCGATTGTCTCCACTTCCTCATACCACAGAACATGTTTTGCCCTGACCGGTTTGGCTCAGTGGATAGAGCGTTGGCCTGCAGATTGAAAGGTCCAGGGTTTGATTCCAGTCAAGGGCATGTACCTTGGTTGCAGGCACAACCCCAGTGGGGGGTGTGCAGGAGGCAGCTGATCGATGTTTCTCTCTCATCGATGTTTCTAACTCTCTATCCCTCTCTGGGGAAAAAAAAAAAAGAATATGCTTCCCTTCTTCAAACATCTATTACTTGGCTTATGAGAAACCACACAATCTTTGACCATTTCTACCTATTATCATGTGTGGACAACTTTCCCTCTTCCTGTCCCTTGAATATTCATCTTCCTAACCCTCAACTCTCCAAACTCTCCTGAGATCTCAGTCATTCTTAGGGCATCGATTACACAGATAAGCTAATGGTTTTTCAAATCCTTATCTCCAGCCCCAGATCTTCCAAATACTTCTTAAATCCTTCTCCTCCTCACTGATCCTATTATAGAGACACTAGGGTAGGCCATCTTAATCTCTTAAACATCATACTGTAAATCCCAAGTTGTGGATTTGTCAATTCACCACACAAACACTCCAGGGAACCTTCTAAAAATACAGCCTTGACCATCTTATTTCTCTGTTTTAAATAGCTTCCTAACAGAATAAAACTGAGCTCTCTGAGGTGGCATTTAAGGTATCTAGAATCGAGTCCCCTCCACTCTTACTTCCAGCAGCACCAAGCAATTTGTAGGTCCCTATACACCTGACATACCCTTCTGAATATCTCTGATCATCCTTCAGGGCGGTCAGGCACCTAACCAGGGTGCCATTTATCCAAGTTTCCCCTGAGACTATCAGTTTCTTAAGGGTAAAGATGTGCTTTTTAACTCTGTGTTCCCAGTATCAATGCTGGACACATTGTCAACATCAACTCATTTGTTCAACAAATATGTACTAAGTTGGAGTGCTGACCAAACAAAACAAACATGGTTTAGATGAATGATAAATGAATCCCAACTTAAGGAAGAATGACAACAATAAATGAATGATACTGGCTTTAGCTTTGCCAATATAGCATGTGAATTAAGATAATAACTTTGCCTGTTTTCTCATCTTTAAGACTCTATAAAACCTTTTAAAGATCAAATGATAACATTATAAGTTCCTAACACTGATAAGCATGTTCTGTGGTATCAGTATTTTATCTCAGATCAATTAGCAGTATTTAAGGATATTTTTAAGTCAAATTAACTATTATGAAAAGAACAACTTAGATGGATGTTAACTAGACTTTTGTGGTAGTCATTTTGAAACATATATAATTACTAAATTTAAAGTTGTACTCCTGAAACTAATATAATGATCAGTATGTATGTCAATTATATATCAATTAAAAAGCAAAATATTGTACTAATTAAAAACTAGATCTCAATTTCCTAGTATTTTGTTTAGGATTTTTGCATCTGTATTCATCAGAGATATTGGTCTGTAGTTTTCCTTTTTGTGTTATTCTTGCCAGGTTTTGGTATCAGGGTTATAGTGACCTCATAAAACGTGTTAGGAAATATTGCCTCTCCTTCAATTTTTTTTGGAAGAGTTTGAGAAGGACAGGTTTTAAATCTTTGAACATCTGGTAGAATGCACTGGTTAAGCCATCTGGTCCTGGACTTTTGTTTTTGGGGAGGTTTTTTATGGTTGTTTCAACTTTCTCACTGTTGACCTGTCTATTTAGATTTTCCAATTCTTCATGATTGAGTCTAGGAAGGTTATACATTTCTAGAAACTTATCCATTTCTTCTAGATTATTAAATTTGGTGGCATAGTCCTTCATAGTATTCTAGTATGATGTCTGTGGTGATTTCTCTTTCACTTCTGATTTTATTTATATGGGTTCTTTTCCCTTGTTTCCTTAGTGAGTCTAGCCAGGGGTTTGTCAATTTTATTAATCTTTATATATACATCACAGTCAAGTGTGGTTCATTCCAGGGGCATAAGGATGGTTCAACATATGCAAATCAATGTAATATACCACATTAACTAAAGAAAGGATAAAAATCATATGAGTTTATCAATAGATGCAGAAAAAGCACTTAAAATACAATATCCATTTATGATTAAAACACTAAACACAATAGGGATAGAAGGAAAGTACCTAACATAATAAAGGCCATATATGATAAACTTTCAGGCAATATTATACTCAATGGTGAAAGACTGAAATCTTTTCCTCTAAAATCACAAACAAGACAAGGATGCCCAATCTCATCACTCTTATTCTGGAAGTTCTAGCCAGAGCAATAAGGTAAGAGAAAGAAATTAAAGGCATCCAAATTGGAAAGTAAGAAGTAAAAGTATCACTTTTTTCAGATGACAATACTTGTATATAGAAAACCCTAAAGACACCATCAAAAAACTGTTAGAAACAATAAAAAAACACAGTAAAGTTGCAGGATACAAAATCAATGTACAAAAGTCCTCTGCCTTTCTGTGTACTAAAAACAAAACTTCAGAAAAAGAAATAAAAAGCATTTATTTTGCAATTGCAACCAATATAATAAAATACCTAGGAATAAACTTAATAAAGAATGTGAAAGACCTGGCTGAAAATTACAAAGCATTATTAAGAGATTGAAAGGGATATAACAAAATGGAAAAATATCCCATGTTCATGGATTGGAAGAATCAACATAGTTAAAATGGCCACATTACCCAAAGCAATATACAGATTTATTGCAATCCCCATTAAAATCCCAATGTCATTTTTAAAGAAATAGAATAAAAAACCATCAATTATGTATGGAACCACAAAAGACTCTGAATAGCCAAAGCATTCCTGAGAAAAAAGAACAAAGCTGGAAATATCACACTACCTGACTTCAAATTATACTACAGAGCAATGATAAAACAGCATGGCATTGGCAGAAAAACAGACACACACGAACTGAGAGCCCAGATATAAAACCACATGTATATGGACAGATAATTTTTGACAAAGTAGCCAGAAACACTATGGAGTAAAGAAAGCCTCTTTAATTAATGGTGCTGGGGAAACTGGGAAGCCACACACAAAAGAATGACACTGGATTATAGTTTTATCCCATGTTCAAAAATTAGTTCAAAATGGATCAATGATCTAAATATAAGATCAAAAACAATAAATTACATAGAGGAAAGCATAGGTACTAAACTTATGGACCTTGATCATAGAGAACATTTTATGAACTTGACCCCAAAGGCAAGGGAAATAAAGGCAAAAATAAATGAATGGGACTATATCAAACTAAAAAGCTTTTGCACAGCAAAAGAAACCGACAACAAAACAAAGAGGCAGCCAACCAAATGGGAGATGATATATGCAAACAATAGCTCTGACAAAAGTTTAATATCCAAAATATAAAAAGAACTCATAAAACTCAACACAAAACAAACAACCCAATTAAAAAATGAGCAAAGGACCTGAACAGATACCCCTCCCAAGAAGATATACAACAGCCAATAGATACATGAAAAGACTCTCAACCTCACTGGCAGTTAGGGAAATACAAATCAAAACTACAATGAGATACCACCTCACACCTGTTAAAATGGCTACTGCCAACAAGACAAGTATTAACAAGTGTTGGAGATATTGTGGAGAAAAGGGAACTCTCAT